CTCGGGCGGCCGCGCCCGCAATGCACAGACTCAGCGCCTGCAGCTATACTGTGCTTTCTTTGAGACAGGAGGGACGTTGGTATGATATCGCGCAGGGGCTACGATCATGCACGGCTGTCGGTCTGCAGGGTAGACAGTGTTCGGCCGCGCGCTGCAGGATCATCAGGCAGACCGGCGGGACTGGGATTGTTGATGAATGACCGTTTTGTGCAGAGTAGCATGATCAGGCAGATTTACTCACCTGAGGGATGGGAAGGGCGATTGGGAGCGGTTGGATGCAAGAGTAAGCGTATGGATTTCACGTTTATTGTAGGCTATGCGCATACGGAGCCGCACGGTTCGCAGAACGATCGGAGGGCACAAAGGAAACGATGCAAGCATTTCTGGCTTGGAGTAGCGCAGCTAGTGGACCTTCCCCCGTCGCGTACGATACCAGCGCTCATGATGGATGCGAACGCACGTCTTGGATCCGTCGGGTCCGACACGCATGTTGACACGAAGGAGGGGGATGAGGAGAACTATAATGGCACGTGCTTTCGGGAGATGCTCGAACATCACCTCACCACTTTGTGTGCGTTGAACCCTATTACGAGACGGGGCCAACATACTACCACGGATCGGGCGAATGCACGTCTAGAGTCGACTACGTGTGTGCACCGCCTGCAGTGTTGGCGCACGTGGAGGCGTGCGAAGTGTGGGGACGATCGGTGATAGGCTGCAGATCATCAGCGCTAGGACGAGGCGCGACCACTTCCCGCTGGTAGTACGCTTCAGAGTAGGCCCGAGCTTCGACCTGCAGCCGCAGGCCGCGCATGCATGGGGTCACGATAAGCTGTCTAGGTGCATTCGTTTCGGTCAGGAATCCCGGGTTTTTTTTTATCAGCGGTGGACGCGTCCCTGGAAGCTATCGCGCCAGTTGTCCAGGACATGTGTCTCCAGGGGCCTGATGTGATGTATAGTGAAGTGCACGCACGAGCGCTGGAGAAGGCACGCGCAGCGTTTTCAAAGCAAGCGAAGCGATAATCAAGACCTGAGGACAACCAGCGCGCGCTGGAAGCGAGGCTGGAGCGCAGGCGAGTTTTAAGGGAGCTGCGAGATGTGCCGCTGCCTCCCCTCCCTCCTTCTCTTCCTCTGGGTGAGTGTCCTCGGGAGGGCTTTCCTGACTGGGTCCTCTGGAGAGGGAAGGGAGTGCGCGAATTCTTGCCCAAGCAGTTTTTCGGACGAGTGTGCTCGGTCTCGCGAGCGTGCAACGAAGTTTACGAGCCGCGCGCGTGCCTAGCGAGAGTTGTGCACGGCTGTCAGCAGAGCGGCGAGAAAGTTAGATTGCACCTGAGACGTGACCGTTCCGAGAGAATGGGCATGTATGCGAGCGAATTGAGCGCGGCAAAACGGCAGGGCGACGCGGCGTTGCGTTGGAAGCTGTCGAGACTGCTTGCGCGTAATAGCCTGGGCCCGCAGCAGAGGAATTGTTGTGCCCCTCGGACGCGTCTCGAGAAAGAGACGTGGAAAACTTTCCTGGACAAGTCGGGTAGCGAGGGTGTTTTTTTGGCTAGGCCTCCGTGTCAAGAGGGGGGGCAGCAGCGTAGGCAGCAGGGGGGGCCGAAAGATGGCCAAACTATTAGTACTGTTCAGCAAGGCGCGGACGATTTTGCAGCAGTGCGAAGGAAGATGCGCATGTCCAGGCTTAGGCGGACGCCGCCCGACTGGAGCTTTCCAGGAGGAGTGTGGCGGCTGCTGATGTGGCCGAATGAATTTCGCTATCGACAGACCGGTGCTTCTGGAGAAGCGCAAGGGGATGAAGATGGGTATTTCCCGAGTATCAACAAATGTTTAACCTTGATATGTGTGGCGATTAGGCACCACTGCGAAACCCCGCTACAGTGGCACCAAAGTAAGGCTTCCTCTCTCAATAAACTGAACGGAAAGAGCGAATGCAAGGGCCAGAGGCTTGTGCGCTCGCTCGACTCATTCGGCAAGTCATACTACGGCGTACTGTGGAGCAGGTACCCAGAGCTCACGCGTGCTGCTGACAGGTCATACTCGTTTGGATACCTGAAGGGTAGACGGAGAGAGGAGGCGATTCTAGCGCAAGGTGTGTGCGCTGCGCGTTTGCACGGCAGTAAGATAGGTAGGCTCACCACGCTGTATGATGCCACGAACGCCTTCGGCAGTGTCAAGCATGAGTGCTTGCACGCGTATGTAGACGAACACTGTGATGCCTTTGGGGCTGAGCTGTTTAAGCAGAGAATCGGGTTTGCGCAGGTATCGATCGAATGCGCAGATGGTGCGCTAGTAATGGGCATAGGACAGGGCACGCTACCTGGGGACACGATCTCGTGCATATGGTTCTTGGGGGCCTATAACAAGCCGTTGGATGTGTTCAGAGACTCGGGCGCGAACAGTCT